ATCAAGACCATGCGCTTCACTAGAGTTACATTTGGACTGAATGTGTCACCATTTCTTCTAGGGCGCACTATCCAGTATCATCTAGAAAATTTAAGTCAATATGAGGAACTCGCGAAGGAAATCCGTGAAAACTTATACGTTGATAACCTCATTTTATCAGCAGATACAGCAGAGGAAGCAGAGAAAAAGGCAGTGCAAGCTCGAAAAATCTTCAAAGACATGAACATGAACCTGAGAGAATTCGCCTCCAACGATATTCTTTTGAAGAACAGCTTACCAGAAGAAGCTTGCACAAAAAGTAACATCTTAAAAATCCTAGGCATCAATTGGGAAACGGTACCTGATCGGTTAACAATACATTGTGATTTACCATCGTCAGAAATTGTTACAAAAAGAGTCGTAGCACGACAAATTGCATCAATATACGATCCTTTTGGATGGTTAATCCCTCTGTTGACCAAGCCAAAAAGATTCCAACAAGAACTCTGGAAACACAAAATTGATTGGGACACAATCTTACCCGAGCCTCTTAAAGAGCAATGGAATACTATGAGGCAACAAGCTGATGGATTCCGTAAATCATTCTGCAGAAAGATCCCATACCAAGGAAAACTAGCCATCTTTTCTGACGCAAGTGAGATAGCGATTCTACTTGGACCCGAAAGAAATTTACATCCTATCAGACTCAAAAATCGCCCTACACTGGGTTTTCACAAACCAAGGAAGCAACAAGGTAGGAGTCCTAGTCAGCAATAGAGTTGCGGAAATTCAAAGAATCCTAGAGAAACTAAAGGAATTAGGACATACCGTATATTTCAAATACGTCCCAACAAATGAAAACCCAGCAGATGCAGGAACAAGGGGGTTGACAAAAAACCAGATCCAAGACCACATGTGGTGGGAAGGTCCGCATTTTTTGACAAAGGACCCTTCAGAATGGCCTACCCTGGATTTCGATTCGCTCAATCAAGGCTCCGATTCAACGATAGTATTGAATTCTATCGTGGGACAACTCCAAGAAAAGAGCGTTGAAATCATGGAACTACAAAGATACGGTACCTTTACGGCAGCAAAAAGAGTCATGTCATGGGTAATCCTATTTTTGTTGAAATCCATAAAAGCCTTCTCTCAACAGAAACGCGATGAGATCAAGAAGGCTCATCCCGAGCTAAAAAATGTAAGCATTCCTCCCCTCCAAAACGATATTGATGCAAAACTTATGAAAATAGCAGAAATAGTTCTGATCAAAAATCATCAAAAGATTCACCTAAATGAACATTACCGCAAAACCATGGAAAATACCCTACGCTTGTTTCAGGACCAACAGAAAATTTGGCGGTCTCGGGGCAGACTCGATAACTCTTCACTCGATCCAGAGACAAAGTCCCCCATATTTATAGCACCAAAAACAGAACTAGCCAAACTATTGTTGAAAGAAGTGCACAGTAGTTACCATTTGGGAATTGAGCATACAATCGTCGCCATAAGAGAACGTTTCTGGATACCAAAAATTCGACAGCAAGTAAGACATCTAATTGGCAATTGCTTCCAGTGTAAGCGCTTTAACGGGCTACCATATCGTTATCCTGACACCCCTAGCTTACCTGGATACCGTACCCAACAGAGTCACACTTTCCAACATATTGGCTTAGACTTCTTTGACCTTCCAGCTATTTACGAACAAAAGGAGCTAACAAAAGCCTACGGGTGTATTTTTACATGCGCTGCCACCCGTCTCATACATTTGGAAGTTGTGAAATCTATGTCAACGGGAGATTTTCTCAAAGCGTTTCGTAGATTCATAGCGCGAAGAGGAGTACCAGATTCGGTAACATGTGACAATGCCCCCACCTTTTTACTAACTGAAACCATACTCAACGAAGAACATCAGCCACAACTACAGGCAGAATGTCTTCGCCTGATGGCAAACCACAAGATAGAATGGCGTCACATTACCCCCTACGCCCCATGGCAAGGAGGCTTCTATGAAAGACTTATCAAATCTATAAAACATGCACTTTACAAATCAGTAAGACCTTCAAGTATCTCCTCATTTGATCAACTGACTACTGTTGTGACAGAAATTGAAGCTTGCCTAAACTCGCGTCCACTCACATATCAAGGGTCAGACCGAGATTCACTGATTAGCATACGTCCAATCGATTTTGTACAACGCGACATAGTTCTGACATTTCCATACTTTCAAGAAGAACTATCAGATGACCCCACCTACTATCCCAGTGAAGAAGTGCAAGCTATTGAAACACGCCTTCAGGCAGAAAAGGCTTTACAATCATCTTGCGCGATTACAGAACAATTTTGGAAAATCTGGAAAGACCAATACATCGTTAGCCTTAGGGAAAAACACAAGAAAAACATTTCAAAGAAAAATTGCTGCAAAAACGACCCGAAAGTAAACGATGTAGTTCTAGTAACCGACCCAGTCCTTCCAAGAAATGATTGGAAACTCGCGAGAATAACCCAATTACGGAAAAACTTACGCGGAGAAATACGTGAGGCTGAACTCATTACCCATACCAAAAGAAAAATACGGCGACCTATCAATCTTTTGATACCGCTGGAACTGAACGGAACGGAAAAATTAGAAGAGGAAACCGTGGTAAAGAACGACCTTGCTTCTGAAGAGAACAAAGCTTACAACTTGCGACCACGGAAACCTACCAACTATGCAGAATGCGCAATAACATCAGAACCACAAAAGTTCACAACTCATAACAAAGCTAGATGGTTTTTGTTTCACTTAATGCTGCTCGCATGCGTCACCGGCGGAATATGCTTCCAATCGAACAGCATTAATCTAGCTTGCGCTAACAATGGAGTTTTGATTGAAACCAGTGAAAATGGCACTATCGAAATTTGTGCGGACAATCATTGCAAGCTACACGAAAACTCACGACAGATTCTAGAACAATTCCCTCCAAGTATCACCTTACATGATCATCTTGTTACCATAAAATGGAATGAAAATGGAAAAACAAAAGTCGTGGAAAAATTGTGCGAAAAACTAAACTTCTGTGATAACATAGATTGCTGGATATGTTCCACAGTACTCTTGAATCCAGAATGTTGGCCAACCGGAGCTATCATCACTTTAGCCCTAGTGGTTTACGTGATTATAGCTGCCATCTACCTGATGTTGTACGTACCAGTAACCATCGGCAAACCTATCAGAATTTCTATTCGAATTTTTATTACCATTACACGCTTTCTGTTGAGCAAACTTTGCAAATGTTCTCGTTCTGTACTAAAAAGGTGCTGCCCAACTCATCGTAGAACTAAAGCAACACGCTTGACAGAAGCTCTGGCGATAGTGACACTCATTGCACTCACTAACACCGCATTTGCATGTCAACAAGTAGATGTCTTGGAATACCACTCTACAATTTGCCATAAGCATAACGGAAAAGAAACTTGCGCAATCGAAATGAGAGAAGTCTTAAAATTGAGTACATTCCAACAAGAGGCTTGCTTGCGCCTAACGAAAAATGGTTCGCACATAGAAGACATAAAAGTGCGCTGGAGAGAGCTCCGATTGCATTGCGAAAAAGAGACTTTGCTTTTCACAAGATCCTCTATTCTGCAGGTGGTAGATAGCAAGCGCTGTCCCCACATGGGAAGCTGTGTGGGACGGAAATGTGCTGACATAAACACAACAAGTCTCCTCCCAGAGCTGGAAGCGGGAAACCGATTTCCAGGGCGAACAGGCTGCTTAGAATCGTGTGGAGGACTGGGCTGTGACTGTTTTTATCCGAGTTCGGGGTGCCTATTCTACAGAATCTACGCTACGCCAAAGAATTCGGATGTGTATGAAATTTTCAAATGCTCGCGGTGGAGAGAAGAAATCAAATTAGATATCTACATTGAAAATTTGCGCTTAGGAAAACAGCATTTTGTCATCTCAGCAATCCCAAATATTCCAGTCAACCTTCCAAATTTGCGCATAACACTAACGTCAACTTCACTTCCTCCTACCCCGTCCCTGCATGATCACTTTATCACAAATGGCATTGATACGGCCTTATGGAAATCTACTTTCACACCCGACCTCACTTGCAATTCCAGAGATACGGCAAGTTCATTTGAATGCGCTCTAGCAGACAACTGTGTATGCACGGCGGCAGAAAGCAAAGTAGTATGTCAATGCCCCCAAAAAGACATTGAACACGAATTCTATCAAATTCAACATCAATTACCCATAAAAACAGCTTCGTGGTATATAAATAGCTTCAAAGGCAACGTAGTAGCAAAAATACCACAGATGGTTTCTGCCGAAATAATCCTCACCAAAAAAGAACACATCAAGGTAGCCTTAGAGGTTGAGGATAACACTTGCACGATCCAGAATGCCGCCTTGATAGGATGCTACAATTGCGCTTTAGGAGCGGTAGCAAATATCACATGCAGCTCGCCAAAACAAACTATAGGCGAAATCATCTGCGGAAAAAGTGCCTTTGTAGTTCCATGCGCTCCAAATAAACCAACTTCAAACTTGTATTTCCATCTGAGCGCAGCACAACAGCTTATCAATTGTTCCATCTCCTGTGGAAATTCAAAAAATCATTTCATCATATCAGGCATTTTGAAGTATGTAGGAAACATTCCGTCACAAATTCTACTAGCCCTAAAGAGCAATAGTACGGTATATGGCGAAATAGAATGGCCCGACTTTTCGCACATTTTCAAAGTATATCTTCAATGGTATAAAACTGTGGTCATTGCGCTGATTATTCTGGCGATAGCACTTCTGGTCTCGTACGCTTTGCTGCAAACAATAGGACTACGCGTTGCCCAGCTGTTTTTTCGCATTTTATTTAAAGTACTGGCTTTGCCCTTTCGTGCTACGCTTCTTGTGGCGAGCTGTTTACTTCACTGCCGAAAGAAAAACATACATGCAACCATCGTACCACACCCCAAGAAAATTTGATAACAATATAGAAATAGTAGAAATTACGGTAGAATATAGTAAATGTATTTCAGAAATGAGCGACAACAAAGACCACCAAGAATTGAAACAAGCGCTACAACAGCTGACAGAGGCCCTTCATACGTTTTGCGATGCTATCAACACGCTAAGAAACGCATGCGAAGGAACGTTGAACAATCTCTCAAAGTCGACGTCTGAAAAAAGTGATGACCAGGAGATGCAAAGACATGAACGCAGCTTGGAAAGAGGAGATAGCGAGAAAACCGAAACACATTACAGAGAGCAGAATCAGGAAGCGCCGAACAAAATTCTAAACCTGGGAAAAGACTACGTCAATACTCAGAGAGCGAGGAAAAAGATCGCACACCGAAAAGATGCTACCAGCAACCCGAAAGCGGAGAATCAGAGTACGGTGCGCGCGGAAGAAGAGAAGCTTTTGAAGAAACAGAAACAACTTCCGAACCAAGTGCACATCCAGAAGGCCCAGAACAGCCTATTACACAAGTGGGGCCGGAGGACATGATACAACATGTTTCACAAGAAAAGCAACTCGTCGTGGAAGTCATTGAAGTCTTTAACGAAGTGAATGAGACACGCGAGTTACACGATGAGGAAGAAGAACGTTTTGTGGAGATTATAGAAGAAGATGATGAACAAGATACAGGGAATCAATCAAGCCCCCGAAGAGAGAAGGAGCAACCCAATTGAAGAGGGAGAGCCTTTTGGTGAAGCCATGAAGGAAGATGATGAAGAGTCGAGCCTGAGTCAGATAAGAAACCAAGAGTTGCGCCTCGAAATTCGCAGGGTAGAGCAAAAAGTGAAAGATTGGAGAATACTGATTGAAGAGCTACGAGGCAGACCGAGATGTGCTCCGCGAAGGTTCCAGCAGGGACTCATAAGCAGGGATTATGAAAGGCACATGAGATGTGTTTTTTGCAAGGCGGTAGGACGCCATTACTCCGATGCGTGCCCGGAAGTGCAAGAAGTGGAAAGTCGATTGCGCATCATCAGAGATCAAAGAAAATGCGACATCTGCTTAGAAACACTGTGTCCGGGCAACCGAGACTGTAGAAGATGGTCTACGGCATGTTTCCACTGCCGTAGGTACGGCCATCATTCGGCACCTTGTACGCTCCCGGAGGAAAGTAAAATCAACTACGGAAGACTCGTCCGCGCAAAAAACGCACTGCATCGGGGTCTCGACAAGCTCGAGCGTCTCAAAGAAGAACTCAAAGATCCACAAGAAAACACAGGTGGGGCGGCAGTATCGCAGCTCTAAGCGCGATCTCTACCGTAATCCTTTTTCCCATAGCTTTCTTATCCTAGTATTCATCTATTACAGAATGTTGAATCAAGCGCGGAAAGAGCAAAGGGCAACACGTATAAAAAGTCAACGAGCAACCACGCGAGATTCACTTTTCTCCATCTTGATCATTTTGTGTGTTTGATTTATATTGCATTTATCATTTTATTTGATGAAAAAGACGAGGGTTTCATTACCCAAGTTTGAGGTAGCCAAATAAACGAGTTCGCTACGGTCGTGTGCCTTGGTGTTGGTGTGTGGTATTATTGTGGTGTATAAGCTGAACCATCGAAACTGTTCAAAGCATTTGTCTGTCTTTATTATGAACAGTCTTACAATGTAAGGATTGTCAGTGGAAATGGCCCTTTGCATTTTCTAATAGTGTTGTTGGACGTGAAATGCTGATTCCGTATCTGTGCTCCTTATTTGCGGAACTTATCTGGACGAGGAGTTATGAGCGTTTGAAGGAGCAAAAAAATGAATTTTTCGGGATAAAAACAGTTGCAAAAATTTTTTCCAGCGCTTGAATAAGACAGCCGATGTGCGGATGTATTTCATCCAAGAGTTTTCAATTTGTAGAAATTAACACTGGTCCATTTAAGCGCTAGGAAAAATTTTACTACTGTTTTTATATTATTTCCACATCAAGTTTTTTCTTCAATGAACGCTCATAACTTCTCCTGCAATAACGCGTAGCAGATAAGGAAGACAGTTTTGGAATCAGCGTTTTATGTCCAGCATGGTGTACAAACATCTCCAAAGGCCACTTCGACCAACTATCCCTCTCTTGTTAAGATAGCTCTCAAAAGCGGCACGAACTTTCGGACCGACCTAATATAAGTAGAATGAGGGTCTATTTTGATTACAATTTGAAGTTGTTATCGCTGAAATACCAGATTATTTCAAAAGTTAATTCGCTTTCTTCAAGTGACCGCCATATTTTGCAAAACAAATATTTCTAAGATGTCCTGGAGGCATTCGATACAGCAAATTATCCTCTTTTCAAGGGTTATGAAATCGATGCAGCATAGGCAATGTTTTCTAGGAAAATCACTAGGATCTGTGAATGCTTTGTACACGAAACAGTACAACTTTTTTCTTTGTAGCTTTTTGATAAAATTTATGCCCAACCACTGATTTTAGCAGGCCTAAGTCAGACACAAACGCAAAAAATCCAAAAGATCTTCGGAATCTGAAACTTGCGAGAAGGGGTTATGATGTAACCCTAATTTTACAAAGCATGCTCTTGCCCCCCGCAATGGTCGGCTGCCTCAACGTGGCGTGGAGGTGACACTGGGTGTCGAACTGCGACACACAGCCGAGTGTATACTCTGAAAGGGCCTTGTAACCTGTGAAGGAGTTCGACGTTTCCGGTTTCGGCCGGATGCCTAGCTAAGAGCCGGCCAGGCTAGATCCCACCTCCGTCTGGTTTCCTAGTAGCTAGGCGGTTCTGCTCCCCGCTCCAAGCCCAGGTTCAGCGATCGCCCCGTGGAAACCAAGAGTAGGCCTAGTGGTCTGCTATTGTAGGGGATAAGTTTTATTACTCGATCAGCAAAAAGAAGAAAGATATATTCTGCACATCGGATCCCACCTACGGCGCCGGGTGGTAGCAATAACGATGTCGGGGTAGTCAGGGCACCTTTCGGACACGAGGCGTCTGCCCGGACAACACGCCATGAAGACTGCTTCATGCTCCTGACAACGCCAGGACAGTTTCCACGAACGCCGACTTCCACGCTCTTCTCGACGCTGCAGAGCACATCAAGTACCACATCATCGCTCTGCATGAAACGAAGTCCATGAAGAAGGACGTGCGACAGATGAGTGATGGGACCCTCATCATTCGTGGTGAAAATGTTCCATCACGAAACGTTGGAGGGGTTGGCTTCGTCATCCACCCATCTATCGTCCATCTTGCCGATTCGCATGAGATCCTGTCACCTCGAATCTCCATCCTACATCCACGGCAAGGGCCCGGCACAAGGTTGTCAAAAGGGATTTTTGAAAACGAATACCCCTTTTGCCCCAAAATTTTTTTACGAGTACCCCTTTGACCCAAAAACTGACCCCAGTGATTACGCAGTGAACACTTTACCCAGAGAACAAGTTTTATTGAGAAAAAACCGAAAACTTCATTCATGACAATAGCAAAAAACAAATGAGGTCATATTAGAGGTCTCTGCAATGGGGTTAATAAAAAAAACTGCACCGGTCTGGGGGGGGGGGGGGAGGGCGGGGGGGGGGGGGAAGGGGAGGAAGGGGGGGGAGGAAGGGGGAGGGGAATTCTTGCCATTCATATGCTCACAATTTATGAAACCTCTCACACCTTTCACCCTCAAGTATTCGAATTCCACTCATACTCCTCACATTCCCGTCTTCTCACTCACTTTCAAGTACTCTAGTAATCCTACAAACATACTCCTAACACTCCGCTCTACTCACTCATTTTCACACGCAAGTAATCTGCGCTCAAACAGTACCTTTCACACTCACAATCATCTTCAAATACTCCATCCCACATCCACTCTTCAACTCCACTCCCCTCACTCACTCACTCTCTCATCACTAGCTTGCGCTTTGTGCCGAGACGCCAAGACATATCTTGCGCTAAGACGCACCACTAAAGTCAAAATATTTGAAACATGATTGGCTTATCACATACAACGACCAGTAGAAGTAGAAAAGCAGGAAAATAAGAACAAATCGGAAGAAAAAACTGAGTTCATCATTTGACCAAACACAGATAATAACTTCCCGGGATCGATACCACTTTGAAAATATGAGCAGAACACCCACCTAGGGGAGCCTCCAGACCGCGCCGGGACCGCGCCGGTTGTCGCTTTTGCAGCCGGTAGCTGCTTTCGCGCCGGTTGCCGCTATTGCAGCCGAAGCGAATCGGGTCAGATTTTGTCCGTGAGGCGCGTAGGATTGACTTATAAGCACTAACGGGATGCTCGCAGCTTTTTTTATCCTTTTATCCCTGTTCCTTTGCTCTTCTCCTCTATGTTGTTGTGTAAGCAGCTCCTTTGTAAATATAATTTGTTTAAATAGGCTTCCGTTCTTGTTTCTGTTATACTATGCTGCGTGATGTAATTTGTTATCAAAGGAGGTTCCCTTTTGGTCGATCTTTCTCTACGAAGCTGGAGCTAGCTGATATCAACGAGTTATTCACAAACTCGTTCTTCTAGCAATCGTTGCTTTGTGTTCAGATCCATGCAAAGGTGTTTTGTTTCCCTTCCGCTCAATTTGTAATACACCATCCCATCTATAACAACATGAATGCTTGATTTAGGAAAATGCCCGTTAAATTTCGCGAGACTCTCGCCTCTCTTGTGGAAGACGAGCCATGTCTCTGGGATCGCACCCGCGATGATTATCACATGAGAGACAAAAAGGCGGACGCATGGGATCGTGTCATGAACAAATTAATACAGCTCGGATATACTTACGATCGTAAGTACTGACTTCGAATGCATAACGGAGTTGCAGGTTGTGAGCAATATTTCAGTTGCCTATGTGAAGAACACGTGGAAGCTAATGCGCGACGCGTATAGGCGATACAAAATCTCACACAGTGGATCATCAGCGTCAGAATCAAGTGGAATAGTGAGAAGACTAAGATATCTGGAGACAGCCGATGTAAAAGGGTACGTTTCTATCTTTTAACTTCAGAGTAGAGCAACGTTTCTTTTTAGAGTCCGTTTTTCCAATCTCCACTATAGCGATGAAGATGACGATATCGATATCCTCAATGATGAAAACGGTTGGAGCAGCTATCTTCGAAGTTCCTGCAAAAGTTATCAAGTTTTGTCCAGATCCACCGCCGCCAGAACACTTCGAAGAAGTAACAACGTCGCGAACTCTTCTGGGGGTGACACCGGCAAGAAACGTGGGAAGTTTAGGGAAGAGACAAGTGGTCGAGAAAACCAAAACGACCAAAAAGGCCCGTCTTGAAGAAGGTAAAGTATCAATATTCGCTCACTTGAATCTATTTCTTAGCATTTAGGCATATCCGCTGTGCAAGAAGCTGCGGATGCAGTGAAAAGTCATTTGGAGGCGATCAGTTCACCAACTAACAAATACAGGCACATCGGTGAGTGTTTTAAGCACTGATTTACACTATATAACTATTTGAGTACTTCTAGGAGATTTTGTTTCCGATACGCTATCAGGGATGACAGAACGAAGGGCACATGCAAAAATTCAATCACTTATAACAGTTCTGCTGAAGGATGACACTACGCTTCAGGGTTGGCTAATGAATGGTCGTAAGCTTGATATTACTTTGATCTCGTAGAACCGCCCACTGCTGTTTTTGTACCGTTTTCATAGCATATGGATACTTTTGAAGAGTACTTTGAATATGATTGCATGGTCCTCATATCGTTGTTGTATTGCAGTCGCTAGGAGTTCATTACTTTAATCATTTTATTCTACCTGCCTTGCATAGTCTCCAAAACACTGAAGTCTTTCCTCCTCAAAATTATGCGTTGTTGTTGTCTTCATGAAGAGCTCAGAAGTTTTGTTGTATTCTATGAAGATATTGTTGAATAACCATTGAAGTTTTCTTCTCACAACTCAAATGACTGACGTTCGGTAATAATTTCCTGCTTTGCATAGTCTCCAAAACACTGAAGTCTTTCCTACTCAAAATTATGTGTTGTGCTCAGAAGAAGTTTTGTTGTGTTTTATGAAGGTTTTGTTGAATAAACGCCATTGAAGTTTGATTCTCACAACTCAAATGACTAACATTCAATAATAACTTGTGTATGTACACTTCCTTCCGTACCGAAATAACATGATGAACAGCTTTTCAAGATGACAGAAGCATTTTATTGAACACGCAGAAATTTTTTATCTGAAGGTTGCAGCATGACATATCAGCAATATTTGAATCTACATCAAGCGCTGGAGAATTTGGCAGGGCCCTTAGCGAGTTATCTTCCTCCACTAGGGAATACGTGCGACAAGAACACCGTCCATTTCTTTCTACTCGCTTCCGTCTTTTTGACGAGTACCTGGTCACACGCAGACCCGAAGGGTTCCTCCAGTTCATTCGGCAAAAGCCGAATGAGTTCGAGGACCTGTACGAGAAAATTGGAAGCAGACTTGAGCACGCCCTTTGCCATGCTGGACCCATTGTCGGGCGCCATCGGCTCATGATTTATTTGAGGTGATAGATGGCAGCTAACAAAGTGTGCATATACTAAGTTGCAGTGTTAAAGAATCGTCACCCAAGGCATGTCATTCTCGGCCTTCGCTTTGGATATGGGGCTTGGGATAGAAACGGTCTCTCAGGTGGTGGAGGAAGTAACTGAAGCTATTATAAGCGGTAGAACATCAAGACATAATCAAAATCAAACTTAAAGCGTCTGGTTCAGGACTGCATAACAACGCATTCCCTCCTTTGACGCTTGAGATGTTGGAAGAGGTGGCAAGAAAAACCCAGGAGAGGTACGACCACCCTCGAAGCGTAGGGTTCATGGATGGTAAACACATCAATATTAGGGTCTGCTAGATATGTAAACCTCTAAAACATGTGAGGGACAGCATTACTTTAGAAACCTGCGCACTCGGGTAGTAGCTTCTGGAACTACCTGAGTTACTACTCTATTGTCTTGCTTGCGGTCTGCGATTGCGACTACCGCATCATAATGTATGATGTCGGATCACCTGGTTGTAATGGAGATGCCGGAGTTTATCGGTCATCCAGTATCAAGGTTCGATCTTTATAAGAAATTTTAATAATAATGTATCATATCTAGAGATTTTTGGACGAGAACGACGCTATTTTCCCACCAACTAGAGAGCTAGGCACAGTTGGCCCAGTTCAATACCACTTTCTCGTCGATGGTGGTTTTGGACAAAGTCACAGATTCGTGAGGCCGTACAGAGAAAGAGAGGCGAACACACCTGACAGGAAAAGGTTTAACAACAAAATGTGCCGGTAAAGTAGCCACTTTCATATGATACCGACAAGCTATTAATGAGCAAACTTAACTAGAGCGCGACGGTTGATTGAATCCACATTTGGACTACTCGTGCAACGATTCCAGATCCTCAGGAATCGTATTGAACTGGAGCCCATTCGTGCTGAACGAATCGTCATATCGGTTATGGTTCGCTCTATCACTTTTAAGCAATTGTTAAACATTCACAACAAATGAAAAATATTCACAGATTTTGCATAACCTGCTTCCACGAAGGGAAGATAGCCTAGCGGCGTCCGAAGACATAATCCTGCACCAGATGGCTACCATCCCCTTCAAATCGACGAGGAGGAAGCAGGAAGAGACTCACCCAATATTGCAAAAGATCGCATTACCCAGCATTACGTCAACTTATACGGACATGCAGCTTGAAAAGCAAACCGGTGGGGAGGGGCAAAGGGACAGGATCTTCCAAAGGCCCGGCCCAATGCGCTTGTTTTGGTACAAGTCCAAATTTATTCATTACTTTTGAGAGCCTTTCAAAGTGGTACCGAAGATTGCCAATTTCGAAAAGATATAAACAGTGTTGCAAATAAACATATTCAGAAGCTCTTTGTTTGGCGCTGACGTTCATTTCCCACTCTTGGTTTCAGATTTCGGATCAAATTGAATGGAAATGTCTAAAGAATTACCCGATACCTTTGGGAAGACCCTAGCACCCGCCCATCCCGCTCCTGTATTGCTGCACTAGTGTTAGATAGTTTACTGTGCAATGTCACGTGAGAGACAGCTTGGAATGTACATTTAGACTATAGTGTAGAGTCATTGAGAAGCAAACTTGAAAGCAGGTACAAAAAATCAACCGATTTTACTTACATCCAGCACATGTCATCCATTGTTTCTTGCTCTAACACAGTCGTAGGTCCATCAAGGTCGAGAAAACATTGATGATCTGAAATAAACATTTATGTCTTGACTAAAACATTCAAAAGCGAGACGATCTGTTTCGCCTCTACCCCTAGACAGACGATAAAAAGAGAAAAGACCGCTCCCGAGGCTCATCAGTAGGGAAGAGCGGAGGTGACAGATAGGAAAAAACATCAGCTTTAAAAAAATTGCGAGTAAAAATTTAACTTTCGAGTCAATAACTTGCAAAATGAAAAAAAATTTTTGTGTTAGGTTCTTTTATACCACAAAATAAACGTCCTCTTTTCTTGCACAGGTGCCGGGAGGCGGAGGGGTCATTAAGGCGATCTCGCACATCAGATTCGGTGCGCCAGGATGAGGTGCCAGGATCCTGTAATGACCTAGGTCAGATACGGCGACAGGTAATTGCAAGAATAGGCATCAAACATTACTTGGAAAAGTCCTAAAAACTAAAGATTACATCCACATGAGTAACAACGCAGATAAACATAACGTGAGAATTTGTGGTTTAAACGATAGCAATGTATTAAAAACTTACATAATAGACAGTGAAGAATGAATCTTGCAAGAAGGACAAAAGAAAAACTATATGCTTCCAAAAACGTTTCGAAAACAAGCAGAAATCATAATTTCTGACTTTTCTACCGTACTTTTCTCAAAAAAGATCCGCAATTGTAAGTGGCGTTGGCGTCCCACGCAATTATGCGGACACCGATACCACGAACAGTCGAATCATTTCATATAATCATGTGTGCATCCGCACACACCGTCCAATGCCGTCCCCATCCTGGATTTACGATCGCAAAAACGCAAAAGAGTAACCAATTGCTATCGTTTTCATCATTTTGAGGTGAATAGTACCCAAAAAGAAGAGAAAACACTAAGAACCCAACAAAATGACTCAGCTGAAGGATTGCCTCCTCTCAGAATCCAGGATGGGAATGCTAACAAGTGCCAATAACGCTAATAATAACACTAATAAATGAAATGACGTAACATTTGCCCATCGCTTGTGACGCGTGCATCTTCAGGTAGAGCACCCTATCAAGATTATTATGTTGCATAAGAGAAGAAGCGCTTATGTACACAGAAAATCAAATTACAGTCCGTCTTGGCTAACTTGTTGACGGCAAAATTCTGTTGCAAAAGTAAAAGTGTCACAAGCTCGATAAAACGTCAAAAAAATAAACGCAACTTGTTGATAGAGCAGAAATATCAAGAACGCAGGAAAAGGATGTGAAATTTCGGAGCAAACTCACTTCACAATAAACATTAATCGTGATCAATCCATTAGCGGAAAACCGATAATCTCGCACATAATCCACCTTTTCATTCTGCAAAAGCAAAGCATATATGCGTCAATACAAAAAAGGACGTGAAATATGTCCTTTTTAGACAGAAAGCCAGAAAATGATGCTGACAAATGCATTGAAGCATGAATTTTTCCTCTACAATAAAGAGAGGTGCTGCAATTTACTTTGTCATGAACTTCTGAGGTATTAAAAAGACATTTGCGCTACCATTCGATGAATAGTCTAAGAAAGATGGAAAGTATGGAAATCACATATTTTTGAGTTCCCCGTCACAAGTACTTAGAACTGACCTGCTGATGATTTATAGGTGGATGCTCTGCGATAAAAGCATTAGCGGCATCTGGGCTTTCTACATGGAAGCTTATGGGAGGAACTGGACGCGACTGAAGCCACAACGATTCGCAAAGCGCTCTACCAGCTCCCAGCTGAGCGCGGGTTTGCTCCATCTCGCAGAGTAAGCGAGCCATGGATTCCACACACTTAACATAATTAGTAGTTCAACTAACAGAGATGGTGGCAAACTGCCCGCCGTTTCCTCTTCAAACTGCCAACCTTTCCAAAACATTGAAGGATATTTTAATAACATGTTGTTCTTCTGAATGTCTTAAAGTTTTTGATTCATTGAAACCAACCATTCTCTACAAATTAGGTAAGATGAGTCTAGAGCGTTTTCACGATAGTGACCTTCTTCAGCACTAGGTTTACAGAGTATAGATTCCAGAAATAGGCGAGTTTTTGTGTGAAGGTGTGGAAATTCACCAATCTCCCATAGTTTTTTGAGTGTGTGCTAATAATGATGGCATAACTGTCAATCAAAAGCGCATTTTTTACCAAAAAACATAAACATATAACAACGATAAGCACGCTTAAATAGATGCGCTCGCTCACGTTCCCGTTAATGCTGATAACGATGTCAATCCACAGCACATTTTTTACTATTAACTTGCTCCACCTCGCTCTTATTAGGTCGTCCCGAAAGTTCTTGCGCACGATTTTCAAAAGTTCATATCTGATTTTTCCCACCGATTTGACTGCTTTCACTTTTATGTGAAAGGGTAAGTCATGCTCTTTGTAATGACATCTCAGCTGCTTAGTAATGGTCATTTATTGCATAGATAGGAGCGATAGAAGAAAATTGGTCAAAATTTGAATTTTCTGTGTAGGGCCATGAAAAATCGGAGACTTGCAACAAAAATCGGAGCAGTCAGTATTGTAGGTGTTTTCACCAGCTCTTTCTAACAGTGCAAAGTTTGCGCCGATTGAGCGTTTCTATGGAAAGTTATGATTTCCCTGAAAAATGCCAAAATAAACCAAATTCGCCCTTTCGTATTGCTTGCTCGAAAATCATAACTTTTCATATAAAGTCAATCAGCGATCACTCAATCAGCGCAAACTTTGCACTCCTAGAAAGAGCTGGTGAAAGAACCTACAATAGTGACTGCTCCGATTTTTGTTGCAATTCTCCGATTTTTTATGACCCTGCAAAGAAAATTCAAATTTTGACCATTTTTCTTCTATCGCTCCTATCTATGCAATAGATGACCATTACTAAGCAGCTGAGATGTCATTACAAAGAGCATGACTTACCCTTTCACATAAAAGTGAAAACAGTCAAATCGGTTGAAAAAATCAGAAATTATGAATTTTTGAAAATCGTGCGCAAAAACTTTGGGACGACCTATACAATGTGTTGGCTTTTATGGGTCACCGGAGCAAATGATTTTTAGAGCCGGAAAGCAAAAAAAGCTCTAACATGCTGTATACCATTCGAAAGCTGAGATCATGGAGAATCGACGTAGACCGGCCTTTTTCTAGGTCTTCTGTGCCGCGAGATATGAGGGATTTTATGTGCTTCAAAAATTAACTGATTTTGTGTCCTTACTTTCTGCTCTTCAAGTGAATGCTACGAGAAATTCGACGGTCTACCTTTGTTAATGAAGACTTGCTTTTTAACACAGTTAGATGACCAGCAGTGATTAGGTCTTCATTTGGCAGAAGTCTGCTGTTAAAAATGACCATGTTTTCAGATAAAATGCGGTGTATCTCTCGGTAGAGGGGGGCTAGAAAGAAGTCGACGGTCTAGGTCGAATCCCCTTTTCCTTAGCTTTCGAGTGGGGTATAGGTTGCTGGGCGAAAAAACTAACCCGTTTTTAAAAATGGGGTGGAGGTATTTACTATTAGCCTGCTCCACCCAGCTCCACCAATGTACTGGCTTCTATCGGTTACCGGAGCAAATGATTTTTAGAGCCGGGAAGCAAAAAAGCCCTAACATGCTTTATACCATTCGAAAGCTGAGATCATGGAGAATCGATGTAGATTGTCGAATTTTTTCTAAGTCTTTTGTGCCGCGAGATATGAGGGATTTTATGTACTTCAAAAACCAACTGCTTTTTGTCCTCACTTTCTGCTCTTTAAATGAATGCTACGAGGACAAATAAATAATATAAATAAACATAAATACCGTTTCTTTTGTAAATTTATGAGTGTACTTGTTGTTTGAGGTACTTAGCCTGCAAAACCTTTCAATAACGGTTTTTATCATATTCTCAGAATACAATACCAATCTCAGCCCAGGTGAAGGGGGTCATCGGTAGTTTGGCCTCAAAGTGAAGGGGGTAAGATCCATCACTCCCCCTATTGCAACTATGTCGAGGACCAACACACAGATGAGCCTCACTGAACTTTTTGTTGGGAAAAATATTCATTAAAAATTGGGGTTTTGAAAGGGGGTTTGTAAGCGAAAGACATGAGCTACATGAGTTTCCTAGTTTATTGATTAGA